TGTGTGTGTGTGTGTGTGTGTGTGAGTGTGTGTGTGAGTGTGTGAGTGTGTGTGTGTGTGTGTGTGTTCAGCCTCTATAGTCCAGCAGAAGTGGTGGTGTCAGATGCATCCGTGTCTGGATGGAGAGGACTGTAAAGTGCTGCCGGATCTCAAAGGATGGAGCTGCGCTACAGGGAATAAGATCAAGACCACAAAGGTATGAAGACCCTCAGAAAACACGGTACAAACATGGTACAATACCATGATCTCAAGCGCTTCCATGACTAACAAACCTCCAGAGAGTTTTGCTGCTTTGTGCATGATTTAAAGCACTATTAATAAACACATTATATGCAGTCTGGTCTTTAATAGTGATAATGTTCTCAAAGTGTTAGCACAAAAACATTATTAATAAATCATTCATGAAATGTTCCAGTTGGATGCTCGTCTAACATTTTTTAAATGTAACTAGTTCAGAGAACATTCAAAAGTAACATTCTCATAATGTTTCAAAAGGATCAAATGGAATGTTCCTTTAAAGTTCACTTTTTTTTTTTTTTTTTTATGGATGTTCAGAGAACATTCAAAAATAATGTTTTTATAATTTAATGGGAATGTTTGAAAAACTTCTTGAGATGCAAAGTGACTTGAGATATTAAGGCTTGCTTTCTGAAAAAAAAATCTAAATTGAACGTTTTTGCTTAAAATACAAACAAATATCTGTTAATGGGGTCTGAAAAATACATGTAATTCAAAGGGATTTTTTTTTTTTTTTTTTTTTTTAAGCAAAAACTCATTTAATCTTGATGTAGAAAACAAGACTTAATATCTGGTGTATTAATGTATCTTGATTTAAGAACGTTTAGAAATTTGTTCTGGAAAACTTTCCCAGAAATTATTACTGCAACTTGCATATAAATAGTGATTACAGAAAAATACAGATTTTTTTGTCACATAACAACAAAAAATGTTGTTATGTGCAACAAAAAGATAAGAATGCTTATGAAATGTGTTTATTAAATGGATAGTCCGCCCAAAAATGAAAATGATCATCATCACCAAACCTGAATGAGTTTCTTTTTTTCTCCTGAAGACAAAAGAAGATATTCTGAAGAATGATGGTAACTAAATAGTCACTGATAGTAATACAATGGAAGTCAATGGGTACCGTCACCTGTTTGCTACACCCAGCATTCTTCAGAATATGGTGTTTTGTTTTCAACAGAAGAATGAAACTCATACAGGTTTTGGGACGACATGAAGGTGAGTTAAAGATGACGTAATGATCTTAAGACGGTTTTTCTGTGCGGCTCTCTGCTGTTGAAGGTCATCCATCTGTCTCTGGGATCATTTGTTACCAGCAGATGAAGCTTTTAGCCCCATTAATGACTAGTGTGTCACCGCAACACCCTTGAACATCACCAGCGCTTTAATTAGAAGCTTTTAATAGAAACCCAATGCAAATGTCCTTCTGCTGCTGGTTATGACGACTGTACGACTCGAGCTCGTTCAACTTCTATCAATTATTTAAACGGCTTCGCCAAACCTGTCTGGAGCCTAATTATTGATCCTAAATATCCGCAGGCTCTCCTGATTGGCCGGCGTTGCGGTGGTCTTCATCGATTCAAAATAAACCATATCAACCTCAAAACCCCTATATCTTTCTTTTCTGCATGAAACACTAAACTAATGCCGTTTCCTGCTTTCATTTCCCATGTTACGCGCGGCACAGATCTCCTCAGACCGGGATCAGCTCTGGTGACCGCTGGAAACCTGATCCAGGTGAGCCGGCCTTCATCATCATCATCATCATCACAAGCAGGGGTTTGAAACTTCCAGAAAAGTCCTTAGACGCAGGTGTTTGTGTTTATTTCTTCTTGGAATCAGCAGCGCGTTTATCTTGCTCGTCTTTATCACATGTAAAACTCAAATACGATGTGCTTTATAGTCTTTCTATTCACAAACATGTTGTAACACTAAACTGAAAGCAGGAGCTCTAAACTGTCTGGTTAGTGATTGATAGAGCTGTTCATTCATCTCGTCACATGGCGTAGTTATGATCTACTAACCAGCTAAACTAACCAGACCCTGAGCTCTTGGTCATCATTGCCTGATCTGATTAATGTGGGTTTGATCTTCTGTGCTTGATCTCCACAATCTACCAGCACTGAATAAACGTTCAGTTTTCAACGGAACTGAATCAACTACATTTAATCTGTACCTGATACATCTACACTCTTAAAAATAAAGGTGCTTCACAGCGATGCCATAGAAGAACCATTTTTGGTTCCACAAAGAACCATTCAGTCAAAGAACATCTCTTTCTTAGCTTTTTATAATCTGAAGAACCTTCTTTTTGTGAAGCTTTTGTGAAACAGAAAGGTTCTTCAGATGTTAAAGGTTCTTTATGGAACCATTTAGACAAAAAGCACCTTTATATAAGAGTGTACTGAACACACCAGGGACTCCCAAGCTGATAATCAATCAAATAAAATATTTTAGATTACACTAAAGAAAAAAAATTAAACACTTGCCAAAAAATGTAAATTTTCATTAAATAAAAAATGTACAAATTAAAATAATTAAAAACTAAATAAAACACTTGCTAAAAATGTAAATAGTAATTAAATAAAAAAATGTAAAAATGAATATAATAAAAAAAACTTGCTAAAAACATAAATATTAATTTAAAATTTAAAATTTAAATAAATAAAAATAAAACAAGCACTTGCTAAAAATGTAAATATTAATTTAAAAAATTGTATAAAATAAGTAAAAAATAAACATTTGCTATTAATTAAAAAATACAAATAAAAAACTGTAAATATTATTTAAAAAATTCATGTGATCATTAACCAACATCAGAGAACTGTTAAATTATTAAAAAAATAGTTGAACTAGTTATTTTGAGGGTTAAACTGTTGTTGTTGTTTTTGTAATAATGCTTTTAACCGTTTCAGAGACGTTCATCCCAGGATCTGCAGTGAGACTCACAGCGCTGCTTTGTGACGTTCATTAATCAGCGGCTCAGACCTTCTCATTATTAACCATGATCGAGCTGACGGATCAGGATCCGGACCGATGAAGGTCACGGAGCTCCGCCAAAACATGAACTTCATCCGTATCCAGATGGATGACGGGGGAAAAAACAGATGAACAGTTTGTTCCCGCATTTCTTGAAGCTCTAATCTGAATGTTCATATATCCTCATATTGAATGACATCATATCAAAGAAGACTCCAGCAGGATTTTTCTGCACTGCAGATGCTTTGTCTGTGTGTAAATGATGCATAGGCTCATAATAAACCATGATTGTCTTAATCTGGTGCGTCTCAGTGTCCAGGTGTTTTCCAGGTGAGGTGGGCGGAGCTTCATGACCCTCAGGTGACCCTCAGTCATTCACACAGCCAGAGCAAACTCATGTTCCCGCTGACATTTGATGGAATCAGTGAATCACTCGAATGATTCATTTGGACAGGAACAGTAACAAACTTTAATGAACCAGTTATGTTCGTTTATACAATGCTATTTATACATTGCTCATGGAACATTTTATTTCTGAAATGTTTTATTTGGACGTTCACCTGATGTTTTTAAATGTTACTACGCTTGAGAAAAATAACGTTCGTATAATATTTGCAAAAATATCAAATGGAATGTTTTGATGTGTGATCAGAGAATCAGTGAATCACTTTAAAGATTTGTTCGGACAGAACAGATGTCCAGCGAACAGGGAATGTTCTCAGAGCATTCTGACAAATAACAATAATTCAGAGTTATCTGGTCTTTAATAAGACAGTATTTATACATCGTTATAACATTTTATTTCTGAAACGTTTCAGTCAGACGTTCATCTAGCGTTTTTTAAATGTTACACTTGTTTTGGAATGTTCAGAGAACACTCAAAAGTAACGTTTCCATAATGTTTCAAAATGATACAATGAAATGTTCCTTTAGCATTCATATGACCAAGAAAAAGCATTTTAAAAACAGTTACAAAACTGGACGTTCAGGAGTAACGTTTTCGTAACCTAATCAGTTAGTGCTCAGCTGTGTCCTGCTGCATTAATTCTTCAGATATTAAAAGCGGGGAATGTGTCGTATCAGTTATATCCATTGCTTCTGCATTCTGAGTCTTGCATTCGATGACGACACACACAAACCATGAAGACGAGGGAGCTGACTCTGAGAGAAAAGCAAGCACTTTGGATGCTAAAAGAAAAAAGGGAGGTCAATTAGAGCTATAGCAAAAACAACAGCAGCTGATGACAGGCAAAAGCTGTGAAAATGAACCCTAAAATATGTGTCTGTAAAATCGCCAACAAGCTCCAGAAATCTGGGTGATGCTCTGACGATCTACTGTCTGCAGGAGACTTGACACAGAATTACAGAGGCTACAGCAAGATGCAAACCTCTGACTAGCGACAAATAGAAAGGCAAGATTAGAGTTTGCAAAAAAAAAAGCACAAAGGTGAGCCAGTAGAGTTTTGGCACAGTGTTTTATGGACAGATGAGACAAAGATTAACCTTTATCTAAGTGATGGGGAAGCAAAAGTGTGGAGAAAAAGGGAACTGCAGATGATCCTGAGCATACAGCCTCATCTGTAAAGCACGGTGGAGGTGGTGTCATGGCGTGGGCATGCATGGTTTTAATGATGACTTAATGTATGATGACAGTAGCAGAATGAATTTGGAAGGGTACAAAACCATCTTGGCTACCAATATTCAAGAAAATGCCACCAGATTCATCAGAAAGCGCTTCACATTGCATCAGGACAATGACCCAAAACACCCTGCCAGTTCAGGAAGTTCAAGAAGTTTATCAGGGCAAAGAAATGTAAAGTCTTTGATTGCCTAAATCAATCTCCAGATTTAAATCTGATTGAACATGGATTTCACCAGCTGAAGAGGAGACTAAAGGCAGAAACTCCCCAACAGTTGGAATTGGCTGCATTAAAGGCTGGGAAAAGCACTTCAAAGGATGAGACCTAGAGTCTGGTGATGTCTGTGGGTCGCAGATTAGCTGCTGTGATTGCGCGCAAGGGATCTGTAACTAACTAATAGCTTTTAATCTTTTACATCTGCCTTAAATTCAACTGTCCCAATACTTATGCTCACATCAAATAGTGGGATGAACTCTAAAAGTGCCGTCCTTTTTATTTGTTAAAACAGCTAATATAAAATGTGACATTTTGTAGTTTTGTCACATATTCATATTTTAATCATATTTGCAGATGTCTTGACTGCACAGTAAACAAAGCAATTTTGTCATTACTGTAACTTATGGAGGGCACTGTATAAAATGCCTGCACACTTGCTTCTGTGCTTTTGATACTGGCAATATATTTGGATTTTGTCAAGCTCTCGCACCTGCATATATATATATATATATATATACAGGTGCATCTCAATAAATTAGAATATCGTGGA